TAGCAGGCCCGGGCTACAAGCCTGCCATGGTGTTAAACAATGTAGAGGTGAGGACAAACCTGCAAAATGGGGTTACTACAAAGGGAGCCCGGCTGAGGCTAAAAAGCCCGCACATTTGGTTTTTAATAAATGTAGCAGGCCCGAGGGAACAAGCCTTTCACAGGTTTTTACTACAATGTAGGGAGGGGTGAGGCCCACAAGCCTGCCCTTTGGGGTTACTATAATGTAGCGGCTGAGGGTACAAGGCCCCACATGGGGTTACTTAAAAAGTAGCAGGCCCGAGGATTTCAAGCCTTTCCCCATGGGTTACTATAATTTTAAAAAGGTGGGCTAAAAAGCCTGCCATGGGGGTTAATTTTAATTTTAGCAGGCGGGGGCTACAAGCCTGCAATGGTGGACTAAAAATGCAGCGGCTGAGGCTAAAAAGCCCGTAAACCCTGGTGTTACTACAATGATCAGGGTGAGGTTTCAAGCCTGCACTTTGGGGTTACTATAAAGGGGCAGGTGAAAGGTAAAAGCCTGCAAATGGTGTTAATATAAAGGGAGCAGACTGAGGCTACAAAAACCCAAAACTGGTGTTTCTCAAAGTAGCAGGCTGGAAAGGTACAAGCCCGCACATGGTTTCTAAATTTCAGGGGGACTGAGGCTACAAGGGCCTTTCAATGGGGGGTTTTAATTTGTGGGAGGCTGAGGTAAAAGCCAACCCTTTGGTTTTTAATACAATTTTAGAAGGGTGGGCTAAAAACCTTTCACATGGGGTTTTTTCTTAATGCAGCAGACTTGGCCCACAAAACCAACATGGTGTTTTCTACAAGTAGCGGCTGAGGCTACAAGCCTGACCTTTGGGGTTACTATTAAAGGGAGCAGGCTGAGGCTAAAAACCTACAAAATTTGGGGTTACTACAAAGGGAGCAGGCTGAGGGTACCAAACCTTTAAAATGGTGTTACTATAAAGCAGCGGGCTGAGGTAAAGCCTACACATGGTTTTTACTTTTGTAGAAAGGGGTGAGGCTTAAACCCCAAACATGGTGGTTTTTTACAATGTAGCAGGCTGAGGCTACAAGCTGGGACATGGTTTTTAATATTTAAAGTAAACAGGCTGGAAAGGGGACAAGCAACCCCTTTGGGGGTTAAATACAATGTAGCGGCTAGGCTGCAAGGGCCTTTACATGGTGTTATATAAAGTTTGCAGGTGGGCTAACCCAAGCCCAACCCCTTGGGGTTACTTCAATGTTGAGGCTTGAGGCTTCAAGCCTGCACATTTGGGGTTACTATAATTTTGCAGGCTGAGGCTTTAAAACCAACACATGGTGTTACTACAATTTTTGCAAAGGTTTTTAGGGGTGAAGCCTGCACTGGTGTTACTATAAAGTAGAGGGTGAGGCTAAAAGCCAAAACATGGTGGTTATTCAAAGTAGCAGGGGTAAAGGCTGCAAGCCGGACAATTTTGGGGTTATATTTTTTGCAGGTGAGGCTTTTCAACCCCAACACATGGTGTTTGTACAATTTTTAAAGGTGAGGCTGCAAGCCTGCAATGGTTTTTACTTTAAAAGTTGCAGGCTGGGGGTTCAAGCCAACCCCATGGTGTTACACAATGTTTTCAGGCTGAATGCTGCAAAAAAAACCCCCCGGGGCCCTGGTGTTTTCTATAATTTTTTAGAGGCTTTAGGCTACAAGCCCAAAAATGGTGTTTTCTTTCAATGTAGCGGCTGAGGCCCGGCCCAAACCTGCACATGGGGTTACTATATAAGTAAACAGGTTTAGGGGTCAAGCCAACCCCCCCTGGGTTACTTTCAATGTAGCAGGGGAGGCTACAAGCCTGGGACCCTGGTGTTACTATAATGCAGCGACTGGGAAAATTTCAAGTGACATGGTGCTACTACATAACTTTAAAAGTAGAAGGGCTGAAGGGTACAAGCCTGCACATGGTGCTATTATAAATTTTAAAGTAGAGAAATGAGGCTAAAGCCTGCACAGGGGGTACTATATAAAATTCAAAGTTGCAGGCTGAGGCTTCCCCGCCTGACATGGTGTTACTATTTAAGGGGCAGGCTTTTAGGCTACAGGGCCCGCACATGGTGTTTTCTAATTTTTGTAGCAGGCTGAGGCTACAAGCCCGAAAATTTGGGGTTTTACTTTTACAAAAATATAATGTAGCGAATGAGGCTACAAAAACTGCACATGGTGCTACTATAATTTTAGCAGGCTGAGGCTACAAGCCAAAACCCTTTTGGGGGTTACTATAATGTAGCAGGCTTTAGGCTACAAGCCTGCACCTTTGGGGTTTCTACAATTTTAAGGGAGACTGAGGCTACAAGCCAACACATTTGGGGTTTACTTTAATGTGGCCCGACGAGGCTACAAGCCAAAAACATGGTGTTACAAATGTAGCAGGAATTTAGGGGTTAAAAGCCTTTCACAAGGTGTTTTAAATGTTTGAGGCTAAGGGGTAAAAGCCAAAAACATGGGGTTAATATAATTTTAGCAGACTGAGGCTACAAAACCCCGGCCCCTGGTTGCTATTAAAGTGCGACTGAGGCTACAAGCCAAAAACATGGTGTTACTTAATGTAGCAGACGGGGCTTCCCAAACCGGGACATGGTGTTACTATAATGTAGCAGACTGAGGCTAAAGCTGCCCCATGGTGTTTTCTATAATGTGCAGACGGAGGGCTACAAGCCTGCACATGGTTTTATTATAATGTAGAAAATTAAAATGGTTTTAAAAATAAAGACATGTTGTTGGTAAGACACTATGCAACAGTTAGGTATCTTTTTTTTGAAACGTTTGCCTAAACAGTTTTGGGTTCTTCAGTCGAGTACAAAAAGTTGATAGAAAAGCGAAGATAATTGAAGACGATGTTTAAACGTCCTTTACCCTTAAATTTTTAGGTGGTCAGTTTCCCCCAGTCTGGAGAGAAATTTTTTCCCTAGAATGAAACAAAATTTGGGGATAAGTGACAAGGGGTTTTAGCCTAATTTTTTAGCGCCCCCAGGTGGGCGTAGGTCACTAGGAGAGGTTAAAAAATCAGATTTTTGGGAGGTCAGGGGCCCCGAGTTTTAAAATCTCCTAGTGACCCACCGTCTTTCCCCGTTGGCGCTATAAATAGGGTCCCTCCTGTCCTTTTTTCTTCCCTTTTGTTTCTTTTTATGGAACAAAAGCTCTCCCGACTGAAAGGGGCTGACCCCCTCAAAAATTTTTAAGGGGGGATGGCCTTTATTCATCGCCCTTCAAGTATCTTCTGCTTTTATCAACTTTTCTGTACTCGACTGAAAAGCCTATGTGGGGCGAAACGTTTCAAAAAAAGATACCTAACTGTTGAAAATTTTTGTTTTTAACCCAAATCTAAATGGAGCGACTGAGGGGTACAGCCGCAAAATGGTTTTTTTTTATAATTTAGCAAAACGAGGTTTCAAGCCCGCACATTGGGGTTACTATAATGTAGCGGGGCTGAGGCACAAACCCGCACATGGTGTTTTCTATAAAGTAGCGGGGGGGTACAAAACCTGAAAACCCTGGGGTGTTACTTTAAAGTAGCAGGCTTTAGGGTTTAAAACCGGCCCTGGTGTTATATTTAAAGTAGCAGGTGAGGCTTTCAAGCCCTGCACCCCTTGGGGTTACTATAATGTTGAGGCTGAGGCTACCAAGCCCGCACATGGTTTTTACTATAAGGGGCAGGCTGAGGCTAAAAGCCTTTACTTTGGGGTTACATAATGTAGCAGGCTGAGGCTACAACCTGACAAAGGTGTTTTTATAATGTAAAAGACTGAGGGTACAAGCCTGCCCCTTTGGGGTTACTATTAAAGTAGCAGGTTTAGGTACAAGCCTGACAGGTGTTTTAACTATAATTTTTTTGCAGGCTGAAGCTACAAGCCCCGAACATGGTTTTTACTATAATTTTAGCAGACGGGGGCTACAAGCCTGCACATGGTTTTTACTATAAATTTTTAGCAGACTTAGGTAAAAACCGCAAATGGTTGGGTTTCTTAATGTAAACAGGCTGAGGCTACAAAACCAACCTGGTGGGGAATATAAGTAGCAGGGAGGGTACAAAACCCCGCAAATGGTGTTTCTATAATTTAGAGGGGAAAGGGTTCAAGCGCACATGGGGTTATTTAAGGGAGCAGACTGAGGCTAAAAGCCTGCACCTTTGGTTTTTACTATAATGTAGGAGGTGAGGCTACAAGCCTGCCACATGGTGTTTCTTTTTAAAGTAGCAGGCTGAGGCTAAAAAAGCACATGGGTTTACTTTAAAAGTAGCGGGGTGAGGGTCAAGCCCGCACATGGTGTTATATAATGTTGCAGGATGGGCTAAAAGCCCGCCCTGGTGTTACTATAAAGTAGCAGGTAGGCTACAAGCCAACACATGGTGTTACTATTTAAAGTAAAACAGACTTTTGGGGTCAAGGATGCACATGGTGTTACTATTTAAAAATAGCAGAAATGAGGCTACAAGCCGGCCCTGGTTTTTACTTTAATGTAGCGGCTGAGGCTAAAAAGCCTGCACAAAGGTGTTACTTTAAAGTAGGGCTGGGCCCACAAGCCTGCAAAAGGTGTTTCTATAATGTAGCAGACTGAGGCTACAAGCCTGCACATGGTGTTACTATAATGTAGCAGGCTGAGGCTACAAGCCTGCACATGGTGTTACTATAATGTAGCAGGCTGAGGCTACAAGCCTGCACATGGTGTTACTATAATGTAGCAGGCTGAGGCTACAAGCCTGCACATGGTGTTACTATAATGTAGCAGGCTGAGGCTACAAGCCTGCACATGGTGTTACTACAATGTAGCAGACTGAGGCTACAAGCCAACATATATCTTACCATATATGACACTTGTTATCAACCACAACTTGTTTAACTGTTATTGTATATAATTATAGGTGAATTAACTTAGTTATTTGAGAATATTATTGGTGGTGCCAACAAGTGTGTGTAGTGGTGCTCACACCACTGTTATTAACTCACACCACCAGCAGTAACACTAACTTATACTCTCACCTGCTTGGTCAATAACACAGCTGCTGATCTAACTCCAGCCAGAGATTATATAGCAGGAGAAACATCCAATGTCACCATCACCACCACCAGTGCTGCTGCTGATGTTTACAACAACAACTGAGCTAACACTGGCGCACCACCACCACCAGTACCACCACCATTATCATTACCACCACCATCATTACCACCACCACCACCATCATTACTACCATCACCAGTACCACCACCATCTTTACCACCACCATCATTACCACCACCACCAGTACCACCACCATCATCATCATTACCACCACGACCAGTACCACCACCACCATCATCATTATCACCAGTACCACCACCAACAACATTAAAATGGTATAAAATACCGACAGGTTGTTTGGTAAGACACATATGCAACAGTTAGGTATCTTTATTTTGAAACGTTTCGTCTACACAGTAGGCTTCTTCAGTCGAGTACAGAAAAGTTGATAGAAGCAGAAGATACTTGAAGACGATGTAATCTGGTCAGTCCCCCAGTCTGGAGAAGAGTATTGTTCCATAATCTGAAACAATATGGAGTTGAAGTACGAACGAACGAACGAAAGTTCAGGTAAGATCCCAAATGGGATGAGCGGGGAAGACGGGACAGACGAAGAATAGTGCTGGAGAGGAGTGTTCTTAGTCGTAGAAATAGAGCCAGGGCTTAACCCAGCAGCGAAGGCGATCGTGGGACAGATATTGGGAAGAGAAATTCAGCCTCTTCTGTTGGGACATCGGTGGGGTGAGCGGGGAGGAAGGGACATGCGACGTTTAGCGCTAGAGAGGAGTGTAGAACTGAGCCATGTCTTAACCCAAAAGCTAAGGCGAACGTGGGTCAGAGAATGGTACCTGTCATAGAAGGTACCTGTCAGCGAATCCAAGGTTATTTGTAAATAGGGTTAGGAGGGAAGGATCATGCAAGGGAGTAGAAAAAGTTGTTTTGGGTTTTTGTGGGTTTTTTCGGGCAAATTTTCTTCGTAAAGGGAGAGAGGGCCCAGGAGTTTTTGTCGTTGTTTCGGGGTTTGTCAATTGTTTTTGCCCATGAGCGTCTTCCTGTACAGTTTTAGCGCAGGGTTTGTTTTTAATTGAGCAGGGGGGAGACCGCTTTGTGGAAAAAGGCCCTCCCTTTCTGATATAAAAGCCCCCAGCGCAGCCCCCCTTTTTCTGGACCCCTGCATTTTAAAGTTTTTTTTTGCTGAAAAGAGAGAGGGTTTAGAGGTGGGGGAAAATTTTAAAAATTTAAAAGAGGGAATTTTTTTTATTGGGGGATTTGAAAGGGGTTTTGTGTTTGGAGCTTTTTTTAAAGAGGCATGTTTCAGCTTTTTTGAGGCCCGCAAGAGCCCTTATTTAGCTTTTTGCATCCCTTGAGTGAATGTTTTCCGGGGAAAAAACGAAAAAGGGTTTAGTAAAGATTAACGCCCAAGGGACATTTGTACAGATTTTTGGATGGGGATTTTAAGGGTGCGGGGGGGGTTTTCATCTGTTTTGGGGGGAGTTTTCGACAAGGGGGAATGGGGGAAATCCGTTGTAGGATACGGGGTCCTGTGGGGAGCAGCGCAGGAAAATTCTGCACCCCCTTTTTGGGGCCCCTTAAAAACAAAAAAATTTTGGGTTTTGTGTGTCAGGGGGCCCCAAACCCCCCCAACCATGGTGTGTGATTCTCTCCTACATATCCATTTATCAGTGTTTGGCAGATTACAGGGTTTGATTTTAAATTTATTTTGGCCTTATTTTATTAAACTTTTTTTTTGAATATGAAAAGACATCACCACCCCTTTTAAAAGCCATTATTGATGTACTATTTATTATATTTTTTTTGGTTGCAGAAGAAAAACTATGAAGATTCTATTTTTAAATAAAGCCAAAGGGGAAAAGGGCCCCTGTGTTTTATCCAAAATTTTTATTGAACATAAAATTCCGGGGCCTCCCTGGTGGGGATCCTGCGTTTGACTACTTCAAAACCCAGGGGGGTTTTAAATAAAACCTGGGAGGCTGGACTGTGACCCGGGCCTTATCAAGGTTTGCTCGGAAGGGAAAAGCACGGGTTTAAGATTTTCAAAAAAACTTTTTGGGGGACCCCTTCCTAAAGAAAAAAAAAAATAAAAAAAACTAAATTTCTGTCATAAATTTTGTGTCACCAAAGATATATAAAGGCTATTTCTGAGTGTAATACCTACAAAAGATGCTATCAAAACCCTAAAGCCCCGTATTTTAAAACCCTAAAAAATAAAAATCTTTGCACGCTATCCCCTTTTGCAACTCCCCCCGCCAGAAAGGATTGATGAATCCTTAGAGGAAATTTTCAACCCAGGGAAAAATTTTTAGGAAAGGACTGTCACTTTCAGAAACCCCAAGGGCAACATGGGTTTGAACACCCCCCCCCCCTTTTCCGCTCTTGTCTGTTTTCAACTATTGGATCACAAACGAAAAGGGGTCCTAAATGACAAAGAAAAAAAAAAAAAGAATGCAGAGGGAATATAAAGACTTTCCCAAACCCCTTCGACAAGTGTGCCCAGGGCCCGGTAATAGCGCAAAAAATTGTTTGGAAAAGGGAAAATAACGGGAAAAAGTCGGTCGATGGATTCTATAATTTCCTCACTAACGGAACCAGAGAGTATTTGTCAACAGAGAAAAGTCCAAAGGCAGCTATGGTAAAAAAAGTTTTGTTCCAAAGGAACAGTACTCGCCCCCCTCTTTTTCCCTCACCCTCATATCCGACATAGACAAGGAGTCACCCACAGCACCGGTCTTCCTTTGAAGATGACCCCCAAATTCTGCTTTACATTTGTTTTCCCATTGCAAAACACTGAAAAAGCTCCAGGCGGAAAATAAAACCAAATCTTTCAGTGGGCTGCGGGAAAAAACAATATGAAGTTAAAAACGATGGGGGAAATTTAATTACTAGTTATGGAAAACATGGGGAAAAAATTTAAAATTTTCATCAGGTCAAAAAAAATTTTGGCCACAAAAATAGAGCGAAAAAACCAAACCTTTAAAAGACCTAAAAAGTGACCCATGTCGGAGGGGATTCCCCCTTCAAGGCCCAAAAACATTGTATAAAATCGTCTGTAAAAAAAAAATGACAGGAGGAAAATGAAAACCCTTAAAAAAACTAGGGGGGGGCCAAGCCCCCATGTGCACTCTTCAGGTCACTTTTTTTATCTAGGCTGGAATATTGTGCACACTAACAGCCCCTTTAAAGGGGAAGGTGAAATTCCCCCCCGGCCCCCCTTGAAAAAGGGTACAGAAAAACCCTTTAAAGGGCAGCATAAGGGGGAGATAAAACCCTAAATTTTGGGGAGCGCTTGAGGTTCCTAAACCTTTTTTCCCTGGAAAGGGGGCGGGGGGGGAAAAAGGGGGGGGAAATGATTTTTAAAAACCAAAACCAAATTGGAAAATTCCAGGAACCCTTATCCCAAAAAAAATTTGGGAACGAGAATCCCCCCAAAAAAAGGAAAGCAAAAGCCCTTTGGCGGGGACCGAGGACCAATCCCCCCAAGGGGGAAACAGGGGGTTTTAACTGGCATTTTAAGGAAAAATCCAAATAAGTTGGTCGGGCCCCCCGGGCTTTTAATTTTGGTTTCCACCCACACAAAGGGGGTTTACCAAACCCCCGGGCCCCCCTGGCAGACCCAAGCGGAAAGGGGGGGGCCCCCCAAGGGAACCTTTTAAAGTAAATTCCGGATCCCCGGGGCGGGGCTCAGTTTTTGTGGAAAGAGTAAACAGGGGGTTTTTTATCAGGGCCTGAATTCCCCAAAAAGGAAGGCAGGGGGTAAAAACCCGGCGCGGGGGCCTTTGACCCCAAAAATCTCTTAAATTCAGGCCCAAAAAAGGAATTCTAGTTTTTAAGTCCTTTCGGGGTTTTTATAGGGGCCGGAAATTTCCCTAAAAGGACTTTAAGGGAAAATTTTAAACTTTTTCCCTTGCCCGTTTGACCCGGCAAGGGTCCCACACGGGCCCAGGGGATTTTTTTTTTGGGTTTTTTAAAAGACCACCCCCAAAGGCCTTTCTGGGTGTAAGTGTCCCAAATTAATGCCCAAAAAATTCCTTTGCAAAAGGGGTTCTGTTGGAACCGGGGCCTAGTGCCAACCACACCGGGTACATGGTTTTTTTTGCTTTTTGACATCCACGCCCAAAGGGTTTGCCCTTGGATGGGGAAAGGGCCCTTTTGGGGCCCAAGAAAGGTTTAATTTTTTGGTTTTGGGGTGCTGGGGGCCACCCCAACCAAGAGCTGGGTGCCCAAAAAATTTAAGGTGACAATGGGGGGGGGGGGGGCCGGGGGGGGCCGGGGGGGACTTCGGGGGGCTACCCTTTTCCCGAAAAGGCGGGGAAAAAGACACAAAGGAAAAAAGGTAGAGGGCCCCCTTATTGATAATGGCGGCTGAAAAAGCAAACCAAAATTAAAACCCCCCCCACCCCACCTAAATTCAGGACTTTTCCAAAGGGGGAAATCAAAAGACCCTTTTAACCAGCCCCCTTGGGGTTTTGAAGGGGGGGCCTCGGGTTAATGGAAAGGATTACCCCCAAAAATTTTTAAAATTTGGCTTTTTGCCAAATGGCTCTGATTTTTATCCTTGGTGGGACTTTAAGAAGCGGGCATGGTATGGTCACCTTAAAATATGGAGGTGAACGCCCTCCTCTTTTTGTCTTTTGGACTTTGGGCCCCTTTAAAGGGGTTTTGGGGAAACCCCCCCAAAGCTTTTTGCAAATTTCTTTACCCCCGGGATTCCCTTTCCCTTTATCAGCCTAAAGCCCACCCCACTTTCTTATGAGGATCGGATTTTCCCATTGGAAAAAAAATAAAGGTGGCTGCTGAAGGAAAGGGTATTATAGAACCGAGGGGTTTCCCCCTTGGGCCGTGCAAGGTTGTTTGTTTTTAAAAGAGGGTTTTATGGGGAAACGGGGGACTGGCAATCGTTTACTCTAAAGAAAAATCAAAAAATTTACACTTTTTGGGAGGGGTTTATCCTTTTTACCGAATTGACGAACAGTGAAAAAAAAAATTTGCTCAGTACTATGTTTTTTAAAGCCAATTGTTTCTACGAGTCCCTTTTATCATAAAAAGTCCCTATAAGGAATGAAGAA